AGATGTAGGAGGGGCTACAGTGGTCCCATCTATCTGAGTCATGCCCCCAACTGGTTGGGTGTCATGCATCAAAATGAGGTGCTGGTTCATCATTTTGTGTCACGCTTGGGACCCTGCCGGTTGTTGGTTGTGCGCGTACTGTCATATCCATGCAACTCCGGACCTCCACTCCTGTTTCTGGACCTCCATCTCCTCCTCCAGAACTCCACATCCTCCACCTCCTCCTCCCCGTGTTGGTTGTTGAGAGCCCACTCTACCTCTGGCTCCAACACAACGTCCAACACTACCTCCGGTCTGACTCCGGTTTACTCCGGGTCCGATCCCAACCTCATACCTTCCAGACCAGAGTTTGTGATGCTCCACCTCCAGCTCCGGACTCCTGTACCGGAACCCCATCGTGTCAGGGTCCGGCCCTCGTTCCGTGACAGGGCCAGGGAGATCCTCCTAGTTGCTGGGGTGTCTAGTCCCAGTCCAAGATCCTCAAACTCACTGAGGGGGCTAGCCCCAGCCTTCACAGGAAATGAGTTGAGAAGAAGGGTAACCTTCTCAACCTCCTGTGAAGCTGCTACAAATGGGAGTCGGGAACTATACAGTTTTCGGCTCTTTGCTGACTTTCCATAATTGGCACCCCCCCATGGGAAGATTCTGGGCGAGCTGCTTGCCCAGAAAGTTCCCGCAGTTGTGGCTGTGATGGTTTCTGGGCAAGTAACTTGCCCAGAACGTTCCCACAGGTCTGCATGCATGCGGGAATGTGGAACAGTGAAGGGAAAAATAGGAGAAAATGGGGGAAGGGCACCTGAGGGTGTGTGGGGTCGGGGGCTGTGCCCTGACACATCGCACCTCCACCTCCGGAACTCCGGTCACATCTCTGCCTCCGGACTTTGACCTCCTCCTCCATCTTATCTCCTTGTATTCCTTATTGCATTTCATTTATTACATCTAGCCAATATTCCGGACTTTGACTTCCGACTCTGGACCCTGCAGTCTCTACTGTATGGTGTCATTTAATCCTCTTGTTGCCTCTTCCTTATTTAGACAGCTGCTTCCTTTCCATATTAGTCAGCTGTCATTCCCCACAACCCCCTCCACTCCTTCCCCTCTTGGCCTTGCCCTTTTGGGAAGCACCATAGAGTTCCAACCCTTGGCCCTTGGGGTTGTTCCCTCATCCAGTCCCCCTTTGTTCTCCTTCCAGTTCCCTTTGTCCTCTGACTCCACTCCTGTAGTATTATATATATACTCTGTACATAGATTCCTGTACCCCTAGTCTGAAATCGATGACAATGATGACTGGATTGTCCCCCAAAGAGACTCCCCCTGCTAACCTGAAGTTAAGGACCACCTTAGACAACAAGCAACAGCACAGCACTCCACTTGAGTTGCTGAGGCCAAGGTCCCTCCACTCCCAAGTCCCTTCTCCACTTATGGACAACTCCGCGCTCCTCTAACACATACAGTACATGCGTGGGGAGAAAGTGTGGATGAGGGGACGGGTGGATGGACGGATGATGATGGTAGTGGGTGGGATGGGCCAAGTGGCACTAGGACATGTTGATGGAAGTGGTGGATATGCCAGGTCATGACAGAGACAAGAAAATGAAGGGGGATCCGGAACAGAACAAAGGTGTCCAGACAGAGACAAAGGGAGTTTGGATCAGGAACTGCACTGAGGGTCAAGGGTTAGACTCTATGGTGCATCTGAAAGGAGGTAGGGAGGGTGAGGGCCCAGAGGGGCAGGAGGACATAAGGAAATGGGTGGATGACTAACTGGCTAAATGGGAAGAAGCAGTAGTCCAAATAAGGGTGAGGGAGTAGTGCAAAGTATACAGTACAAATGGCGAAAGGGCTGGGGTAGGTCCATGAAGCTCGGAGGTAGCGGAGCTTATGGAGGTGGGGTTGAAAGTCTGAGGAATATTGGCAATGTGTCAGGGGACAACTCATGGGTCCCCATGACCCCCCCATGGCCCACAATACATTGTGTCAGGGCATACACCCTGACCTAGCCCACACCCGCACTCACACCTGCACTCACACCTGCATCCACACACACACCTGGCCATTGCACCCCCTGCATGCACCCTGTGCCAGACACTCCGTGCGGCCGGATGCCCTGGGCCCCAGGTCTCGGGCCTCATGTGACTTCCGGATATCTCCGGAAGTTTTCGCTATATTGAGCCACTGTGGGAAGGTGAGAAGTTAGCTTCCTTCTCACCTTCTTACCCACAGCAGGCAAGTTGTACACTACTTGCCTTTTATCTATACACCTTCTTACCCACAGCAGTGTGCCCTGGACAGGGCTGTTTGTCTTTAGGTGTTTATGTGAAATGATGTCAACAATGCAATGGACTTAAGCCAGGGTGGGGTCAAAGTCCAAGGTCGGGGACCAAGACAGGATCTTGGGGGCAGAGGTACGATCAGTGTCCAAGGTCAGGGTATGGGACAGAATGGGGGGTCATACCTTAGCAGAGATTTGGCAGGGGAGAGTTGGGGGAACAGAAGGTGAGGTCAGATCTGAAGGTGGGGATCAGAACAGATGGGAATAGGGAAGTGGTGGAAAGGGTCTGGGAGTCAAATTGGGATTGGGTATGGATATGACACTGCCCTAGGGTGCCCCAGACTCCCCAACCACTCCCTTCCTTCCATTCCTTCATTGTTGCCTTGTTGTTGCCTTTGTGGGTTGTGTATATGGGATAGCGTGGGAACTTTCTGAGTGAGCAGCTTGCCCAGAAACCAGCACTGCCACAACCATGGGAACATTCTGGGTGAGCAACTCACCCAGAATCTTCCCACACTCACTGGGCACTGCCACCTGGATGTTCCCTCTGGGTGTTAGAACCGGGCGGGAACAGACGACTCCGGAGTGGAATCGGAGACTTAGCGTGGAGGGACCTTGGCCTCAGCGACTCAAGCGGAGCGCTGTGCCATTGCTGTTTGTCCATTTGGTCCTTAATTTCACAGTAGGTGAGCAGGAAGTCTCTTGGGGCATTTCAGGTGTCAGGGCCCGGCCTCGGACTCGGAGGCTCCCTGACCTCAACCCCCATCTGGCCTGTCCTCACACTATGCGGGGCATGAGATGTATAGTAAAAGGAAAGAGAATATATACACTTGCCTATGCGGGGCATGAGATGAGAAGAAGGGTAAAGGTCTCATCTCCCTGCATGGTTGCTATATAAAGGAATGGGTCACATGCCCACAACTATACAGCTCTTAGAGTTGTGTAGTGTGACCCGGAGGGAACATCCAGGTGGCAGTGCCAAGCGTGGGAACGTTCTGGGCGAGTTGCTTGCCCAGAACTGTGGCTGTGACCCGTGGGAACATTCTGGGCGAGCTGCTCGCTCAGAAAGTTCCCGCGCTATCCCGTGCGCGTGCGTGTACACAACACACAAAGGCAACAACAAGGCAGCAGTTGAAGAATAAAAGGGGGTAAAGTAGGTGGGGAGTCCGGGGCACCCTAAGGCAGGGTGCTGAACCCTGACATCAGGTCGATTTCGGACTGAAACCAAGACGAGTATGTACAAGCACCGATATATATAATGGAAGGGACAAAAGCACAAAGGGAACAAAGGGTGACCGAATCGGAACAAAGACGTCCGAACGGGAACAAAGGGTAGAGGGAGCGGAGCGGTACCGAAGGTCATAGGGCAAGACCTGTGATACGTCCGAAAGGAGGTAGGGAGGGCGAGGCCCAGAGGGGCAGGAGGATGAGGGGAAGTGGGGATGATGACTAACTGGCTAGAATAGAAAGAAGCAGTAGTCCAAATAGGGATGAAGGGAAAACGCAAGAAATACATTACAGGCGGCAAGAGTGCCGAAGGCGGTCCGCGAAGCTCGGGGGTTACGGAGCTTACAGAGGTTACGGAGGCGGGGTTGGAAGTCCGAGGAATATTGGCAATGGTGTTTACGTAGTATGAGGTCACCAATGCAATGGACTAAGGCCGAGGTGGAGTCAAAGTCCGAGGTAGGGACTATGACGGAGGCTCGGAGTAAGGTACGAGCGGTGTCCGAGTGCGAAGTACGGAACAGCGGTGGAAGGTCGTAACTTGGCGGAAGGGTGGCGGAGGAGTAACGGAGGGAGGAGAGAGGGGACAGGTAAGGGGAGAAGGAGTGGCGGAAAGGAGAGTAGTCAGGTCCGAAGGTGAGTATCGGAGCGGACGGGGGAAGCGTAGGAGGATAACGGGAGGGTGGAGGTGTTGTGAAGGGGGAGTGGAGTAGTAGGAGGGTGGTGAGAGGTAAGGAGGAGGTGTGTTGCCAGGACCGAAGGTGAGTATCGGAAAGGCAGCGGTAGGTTATGACTCCGGAGGTGAAGAGGGTGGAGGTCCGGAAGTCGGGTCGGGGTCGGGTATGCACGGATATGACACTGGGTCATACTACACCACTCTAGGAGCTGTATAGTTGTGGGCATGTGACCCATTCCTTTATATAGCAACCATGCGGGGAGATGAGACCTTTACCTCATCTCATGCCCCACAGAGTGTGAGGACAGGCCAGATGGGGGTCAAGGTCAGGGAGCCTCTGAGTCTGAGGCTGGGCACTGACAATATGACCTATGTATTTTCTCTTTTATTTTCTTTCGTATAAACTTCTGCATCAGCCACTGGACTTATTGGCCATACATTAACATCCACATGGTTGCTCTAGCTATGGTCTTTTACTTCATTTTTCCTTTTATTTGTTTTTTCACTTTATTACTGCTCCTTATGTTTTAAAATGTAGGAACAGAAAGTGATCCCCCTTTTGAAAGAAAGAGAAACCTCACTAGAGAGATCCACCTAAGAAATTCTAAGTTTGACTTCTTAAGTTGCATCTGAAGATCCCTAACAATTGTCCAAGAAGGATGTATGTGCATCCAAGGAATTCTGAGATAACCTTTTTTTGTTTTTGTTAGCACCTGGACCAAACCTAGGACAACCCTCAGACATCTTTGATATCCTCCCCACACATTTGCTCACATATAGGGGTTAGATGAAGACTCTGAATGGAGCTCTCCAATCACAAAATCTTCACCTCTATACAATATATATTCTTTTTGAACACCATCCCTAATGTCACAGCATTCTGACATAGCTATGTACAATGACAATATGTGAACTGAAAAATTGTCATGACAGTTATTGGGTAAAGACAGAAATGATAAAATGTGTTGTGATACTAAACAACTTGGCTGATGTCAATGACAATTGGAGATTTCATCTTACCTTGGACCAGGATCCGGGTTCCATCTTTGCTGGCCCGAGGAAGGTAAACCAAGCGGCAATCCTCATCATGATGAGAACAAATCACCCGATCACCATACCAGGCAACTTCCTCATGAAGGAGATGCACATCTTGTTCAATCGGGTGATACTCAGGTGGGAGAGAGAACTCAGATCTGCCATTCAACCAGATTTCTACCGATTTATATCCTGATTGTAATAGCACCCTTCCTGCTGCAGAGGAATAGACTTCTGAATGCCTATAGATTCCAGAATGCCGCTCTCTATCTCCCATACTTGGTGCAAGGTTATAAAAGGGACACTTCAGCCAGGATGCATCCAAGTTGTGCCTGAAAGATGCTCCAGGATGTTGTACACAGGCTGCATCCTCTTCCGGTATCAAAGGGGTGGTGGGCAGTTGAGAGAACATGGATGTAGGGGTGAGATATGAGCATGGAGGCTTAACGCCGGTGTTAATGATCCAGGAGTTGAAATCTTCCACACAAAATCGAGCAATCAACTCGCATGAAGCAGTCAACCAGACAAAAGCATTGCTCCTGTTATAAACACCGGCATATTGGCCTCCAGGAGAGAATCCAATTGTATGGCGTGAAAGACCAGCTAGATTAGAATAGGGATGGGGAGATTGAGTAGTGGGAGGAGGCGATGCAAGAAATTGAGTGGATGGGGTATCCAAAACACACAAGAGTGCCATCTTCTCATACCAGTTCTCTTTGGGATTTTGTGGAACTCGCATGATTAGAGCCCCATCATTTGACACTGCAGTTAAGGGAGGATAATGGGCCCTGGGAAGAGTACCTAGCTTCACCGGGTGCATACCGTGATTGAGAATGGTAATGTTTCCTTCCATGTCCTCAGTTGCAAGATGAATGCTGCCATCATGGTAAATGAATTCGATCCAAATGGGAGAATTGGAAGGATCATTTTGGAAGTGAGAGATTGTGCACTGATTGTCAATGTCAGCTACCTCTATGATTCCACCCCCAAATCCAAGTGCAACATAACGGCCATTGAGAGAGAGGGCTGCACAGGTTACAATGCCATTGCAAATGTCCTTGTCAAGAATTTCGGCCTCATAATTGATCAGTGTATAGTTTCTACCGAAGATATCAACCTTCTTCGGTAACTGATTGAGCCTTGATTCCATCACTTTCTGAGCCACAAGTGCACCTGCACTTAGAGGAATAATGTTTCCAGCAAACTCACCAGATATGCTGAAGATGCGCACAGGGTCTGAGAGATGCCCATACAATTTGTAAATGAGTGATGATGATGGAGTGAATGGAAGGCGAGATCGATAGATATCCCAAGGATCAACTAGAAAATGGGCCTCTGTACCCAGAAGTTGCACTGCTTCTTTCACAAGACATCGTAATCTGTGATCCTATCAATACATGGTGATGTCATATCATTCCGATACTTTAGATATAGTTAATTTCGGACTCACAACTTGATCTGAACCTTTTATGTATACCAAGTCACCCATTGCTCCAAATGAGACCAGGTGGTGAGTAAGCAATTGTTCAAACTCTTCCTGCAAGTCATTAGACTCTTGTGAAAAGAGTAATGAAGGGTCCAAGTGATCGACCAAGTATTGGAATGCATACGCGATGTGATTGGGTCGCTCCTTGCTCCGAGAATACTCCCACTTCCTTCTATCTCCCAGAGGAAGTTCAGTAGGAATGTCCAACTCATTCCTTTCAACAGCCCTAGTCACAATTTGAAGAAGTCGTGGGCCAAGAAAATATCCTTTCACATCACTAATAAAGAAGACTTTGTCTCGTTCCTCACCAATGGGATTTCCTACAAGGAATTCCCTTGCTGTGGCGTGGTAAAATTTGACCTCCTTTCTGTTGTCCGAGGGAAGATAAACTATGGTGCTGATGGGCTTTAGTGTCGAGTAAACCTCATCCTCAGCGATTCCTAGGAGCTGTGACATGTCATACACGCTGAATCCCCAGTCTGCTGCAACCATCATTCCGACTACCTCGCGATAATTCTTTGCTACCTGTGGACGAATGTTTGAGGAATGGGGCATATATGCTCGTCGCAGTATCCGCAGATACTCTGAGTTGAGATCCTCAGGTGCATCCATGAGATTCAGAAAGTATTCAAGCTCCAATCTCAAGAGAGAACCACTTTCAGTCCGAATCTGGACTTCACGTATTCGGATGGAGGCTATAATGGGTAATCCTCGGCAGGCTGTGGTGAAGAAATCAAGATCCTCATCGGATGGTTTCCACTGCGAGTCCCTGATACAGTCTTGAAGCCCGTCCTCGACCATACAACGGATGGTGTAGAAAGTGTCATCCCTTGAAATCTTATCCACATCTTCGCATGCAATCACAATCGGTGGACGCTGCGTTTCCGCCCGGTCCCAAGCCGAAACAACTTGCAGTTCGGGACGACAGCTGACCAGTATAGCAAAGGTCGAAGGTAGCTCGTCAAGCAGAAGGATGAGCTTCATCAAGGATCTGAGTGTCTCCGTGTCACCACACTCATCCAATCCATCCAATACAATCACAATGCGGTCCACCCTTGAGGACAGCATATTCCGGAGTTCACGCAAAGGGTGGATGATCCAGGCTTTCATCTCCTTCTCTGCAGCAGAGCCCTGCATACTGCTCAATGAAGCTGGCTGCCGAAGCTGCTTGACAAGTAAGCTCTTGTACTCAGCATTGAACGCCGCAATCTGTAGAGCAAGGGTGGAAGGGAAGCGTTCTATCGAATCGAGACCCGTTCCTTTTTGGTTTTTGTCCCAGAAGAAGGACGCAGCGAGGGCACACTGGCTGTCAAGAATCGAGGCTACACTCATAGATATCGCAGTCTTGCCGGTTCCGGGTGAACCACGCAGCCACACAAATCGGTTCATGGGCTCGCTCAGGTGATTGAGAATCGAGTTGCGAATCTCATCCCGTGTAGTTTTGAGGCATTCTGACTTGCTCTTCACGTAGTGATACTCGGCATCGAGTTTTCGGAGTTTGGAGAGCTCATCTGAAAATGGTAATGAGGTAAAGAGTCTAGAACCAAGCGAACAGAACGAACAATCTACCGATGCTCGTATCGTGTTGAGGAGGTTTAGAGTGGTTGCCATCGTCTGCAGTGGACATCTTAGTGAAAAGAAACAATGTGAATGGGGATCCAACGAACCGCAAAACGCGAGAGCGCACTGGCAATGCAGGCCCTCACTTCACCTATTTTCCGAGTCAGCTCGGCACCCAGGATCACTCTCTCAGCGACCTTTTGACTCTCAAGCATTCGGATCTGTTTAATCTGCCCTTCCAGGCTCCTATCGACAAAACTTGGGATTAAAGAGTGGTTGATAGAGTGCACTGACGTACGAGTGAAAGTCCTTAACCAGCAGAATTACTTCAGGTGGGGCCTCATTCGTTTGGCCGGTCCACATTTGAAGCGGCTGCAGGATGGTCTCGTAGGCTTTTTGGACTTCTGCATTTAATCCTTTGAGATTAGTGTCGTTCTCATCGAAACTCTGTATGGAGATCGCGCGCCATGAGCAATGTATCGTCATCAATCGCAAAAACGGAGTTGCTGACCTCGTAAATCTGCAATAGTGTCAAAAGTAGGTTCGGGATCTGATCAAGTTTTGGGATCGGGGAAAACTTGAGAACAAAAGCCGCCGTTTGAAGGGTCAATCTTGTGGTCCCAATCATTGTTTTCTTTCGATCGCTGTTTGAGCTGGATCGCGGCGCTTTCATAGGCTCCAAGGGAGGCACGCTGATACCTTCAAGTGCCAGTTGTGTGCGCAAACTTGCACCACCATCGTGGACTGTAGATGTGTTGGGAAGAGTACGAGGATCACCGATATCCAATGAGAGAGGGAAGGAAGATGAAGAGCGCCCTGGATTGCCAGACAAGGGCTCGAGGGGTGTAGTTGACTCGGACGATTTGATATCTGGGATGCTCGACCTATCACGATTTGGGCTGAGTTTTCTGCCGACCCTCTGTGCCAAACGACGTAAGGGGAATAGGGGCATCTTCGAATGGGATGGACCGCCAGACGATGTAATGGGAGTGACCATACTAGTAGGTTCAAGACTTGATCCTGGCGGGGCCATGTGTGGGGCGTTGCTGAGCTCCGTGATAACGATTTGAAGGGCTTGAGGCGAGGAATCCGACGACTGCCGATCATTAAAAGGTGACACGAATGCGGAAGGGGTTTCCTTGGGATGTGGAGAGGAAGACGTCGACTTGTTCTTGTTAGACATAGCACTGGCGGTCAGCACACACGTGAAGCGCTCGACCGAACAGGAGTATATAGTATCAACGCTGGGTACATTCACACGATATGTGTGAAAGCGGAGGCTGTGAGATTAATGAATTGTGTTACCTTGTAAAGTAGCAATGTCAAGCTTACCTTGTTTGGAAGTTTAGGCTTGGTTGGGTGCTGAACCGCTTCCAGCTGTGCCAAAGTAGCCCGGTCCTCCATCCGACCCGTGCCAACAAAGTTGTTAGGGAACAGCACTAGACATTCGCGCCGAGGGGAAATATAACGTTCATCAATTACGCCGTGGCAGGCAGGTCCCCCGGTAAAGTGGGTGCCTGCATTCTGAAATATCCTTACGGATAGACGAGGACCTGGCAATGTACTAGAGCAAATTTAGTCTAAGGATAGTTGCGAACGTGAACTGAAAAAGTCTGCCGACAGAGAAACAATCAGTTAATCGGCAACAACCCGTTAGAAAGATCGTCGATCAACCCTATCTTTTCAACCGAAAGCTCCACTGCTGGTCAACGTGGTATTCCTCCTTCGTGGAGTGAAACACTGGAGAGGCAGGGACGATGGTGGACCCCACCGAGGGCATTCAGCGATTAACAACCAGACCCTAATCACTCATCCCAGTGGCCCTTGATATCCGATGCAACCCAGTGACCCAATGCCTGATACTCGTTATTCCAGGTGACCAATTTTGAATAACGAATGCCACAGTACCCATAGTAGGCAAAGAATCGAAGCTCCAGTATTTTCATGTATTTGTTCCGAAGACCCCTGTCTGCAAGCCAAAGAAAATCGGCGCGTCCGATTTGGGGGAATGGCCAGTCAGGTCATGTGATTGACCCTATTTGGGAGGTTGCATCATTTATTTGCTACCATTTTTGGACGATCACATGATCCGCACGGCCATTCATCCAAATCGGGTGTGCCGATTTTCTAACTTACAAGGCCAGGGAGCCTTCGGGTGTGTACTCTCCTGTGTTGTACGACTATGTAGGTCTCGTGATTGTCTTCGTGTTGGCATGTTCATGCAGAGACTTCATGGTTATCTCCATTCTTTTTCTATTTCAGGTTGTGAGTCAGATGGTGAAGCAGGGAATTTGAACGCAAATTCACATTTTGAGCAAAGAGAGAATGGTGTTGCAGGGCATGCAGGAGGACTGAAGGATCTAGTTACTGTGAAGAATCGATCATTGATCGTGGAATGACTCCAGTGATATCAAAGTTCATATTCACAGGAGGCTGCATTGTGTCAGCAGGGTATTCAGTGATCAGATAGCGTGGATGGCATCGCGATGTTGTAATTCATGATGTGAGCCATCAGATTGCATTGTGATAAATGCAGGTCAGTGCGTTGGATCGAATGATACAGTTAGTACATTTGTGTTGTCCGAACTTGAGTCAAGGATGAAGTGTGAACCTTGATGATAAAAGAAATTCCATGTACCAGCAGTCTGGCAGCTGTCTGAGTCATTGTTGAGGGGCGAGATTTGCTTCTGACACAAGGTCACGTCAAGCAGCCAAAGTGCACTCTAAAGCCACGGAATGATTGACAGACGAAGACCGGGGGGGTCTGGCACTTGCATAAGTGGTTGCTCATAGCACGGCTAGCCAATGAGAGAGCAAGAACGCACTTCAATGCACTGGTGAGACTCTGTACATTGAATGGTTCCAGGGCGTGCAGTGTGTGTGCTGTCACAGTGCCATCGCAGTGGTATAACCTGGCAGTTGGGAACACAGCCAAAGTGCGAATGGATGTCAAATGAGCAATGTCGGGGACATCAATCCCAATTCCGGTGAAATGGGAGCCAATGAGAGGAGCACGTCGGAACTGACCCAACTTGGGGTTAAGGTTAAAACCTCAAAGAGCGAGGCTTGAGCCAATCAGAGGGCGAGAAACAGTCATCTGGCTGGACCTGCGCTATTAGTATAAGTTAGATACTAATAGTGGGGGTCCAGCTGAACATCACTTTCTCGCTCTCTGATTGGCTCAAGCATCGCTCTTTAAGGTTTTAACCTTAACCCCGAGTTGGATCGGTTCTGTCTTCATCTCTCTGATTGGTTCCACTTTGGTCATGTTCAGAGGATCACGAGCTTTGATAGTGAGAATATTGAGAGAGCTTTCCATCTTCATTGGTGTCCGACACTTATCTGTGAGTTTGAAATGGCTCGCTGTCTGTGCATTTTTTGGATGACATCCACTCCGTTCACGATCCCTTTCGAAAGTGTTCATCTCTCCTACCCAACCCAACAACTGATTGGTGGTCCTCCTCATGCGGCAGTGTTCTCTTAACACTGAATCATTGGACCCGTAACCTAACTCTCAGGTTACACCACAACCTCTCTTTTAAGGGTCATACATTCGATTTTCATCTCCCATCCCTCTTCTTAACCATGGCTCAAGCTTTGACACCTCGCACTAATTTTACAGGCTATGCGTTTGTGAATACATTCCCAGAGGTGAAAAATGGTTGACTTTACAGCAAACTCCTTATCGGTGAGATCAATTTCCATTCCGGTACTTCGAACACTCATTTTGGAGTCAGGTTCGGATGAGGGGGAAGCATTACCAGTCACATTTGATGTCTATATTGGCAAAGCGGTGTTAAATCGCCTGAATATGGGCGATCTCATTTTCATACGAGGCAATCTCCTCACCCGAAACATCAACAACAAGCTCCAAGCATCGTCTACATTGTCCACCTGCACAGTGCTCATAACGGGACATCCCACCGATTCCATGCAACCTTCCTCAGAGACAAACATCATTTTCGACGTCACCGGAACGACTACTGCCATCGCCGATCGTTCTTTTGTAATGGCCACTGGTTCATTTGATCCCTTGGTGAGTTCCATTCATGTTCCACTGTCACTTTACTGAAAAAATTCTCAGTCTCATCAAATGGTTCAATACTCTGTACACATTTTGATTCCTGCCTGTAAGGGGTTGGTGTAGGTTCCAACCCCAGTTCTCCTCAATCCTCAGGTCAATAAAGTTGAGCTGTATGGAGCTTTAATTATCAACGATGGGAGGAAAAGGAGTTCTCTTCCTTTTCCCAAATTCCCACGTTATTGTATATACATTGTTTATACATGTTTAAATCAAGACAAATATACAATAAGATAATGAATGAAGGGTGGGGTTACCACTCCTTGCACTGCCACTCCGCATTGGCAGAATATACGCATTCCTTCCGTTGGTAGTGCTATTCAACTGTCTGCACGTTATCATGACATCAACAACAATGTCCTACGTTTGGACTTAGAAGACATTGGTTATCTTCGTGCTGCACCATCCGCCTCTTTTTCCTCTACTCCCAAAAAAAGGAGTTTGTTCAACTGACAACCCACAACGGATCAATCCGAAATGACTGGCATGGCCTCCTGTCATATCCATACAATCCCAACCTCTGCTCCGGGCTCCCGGAACTCCGAACTCCGACTTCCGGAGCCCTACTCCCCCTCCATCACCTTCTCCTTGCCGACTCCCAAGAGGTTATCCCACCTCCGGCTCGGACACCACCTTCGGTCCGACTCCGGAACATTCCGGGTCCGACCCCAACCTCGACACCTTCCAGACGAGCATGCAACACCTATATGTTCCCGACTCCAGACCTCTTGAAAGGTTATCTTACTAGTTTGGGGACGGTAACGTTCCGTTCCCCCGTTCGCCTCAGGCCTCAGTAGTCCGTCTAAGTATACGCTTGATTTGGCTGTATATTGACGGGGTAGAAGTAAAGGCTCATCCGCCTTTTACAGCTACCCCGAGGGTTTATATACAATCTTATACATTCTCGGCACAAATAAATAGAGAAGCTTCCGCGACGCTAAATTAGCGTCGCGACATAATTATTACACAACACAACATCAACTGATGTTGTGGGCGGAATATAGACATGGGCCGGGGCCTCACATCCTCCTCCCTTGCGATACTAGATCGCAGACAGGGTACTAGCATATATACACAAGGGCAAAGCAAGCATTTTAAAGAAATAAAATTTTTTAACGTTCTACATATGAAGGATGTATGCAAACGGGGGCACACTCATCGCAGGAGGCTATAATAGTATTTTGTAGGCGAAGCCCACTTAGAGTTTCTCCTGGAACATATGCACCCAGATCTCGATGACAGTGTTGTCGACGATGGAACGACTTTCTCGTCATTGTGAGTTTATTAAATACCATCGTCCACCGTGACGATGTTGACAGTGTAGGTCGTCGACGGCAGAGTTGTTGCCGACGAAGAAAATGAATAATCAACGACGTTTGCGTTGACGAAGGATGAAGGGTACAGAATAGACAATCAACAACAGCATTGTCGTTGACGAAGGTAAGAAATTATTAATCAACGACGGCCTTGTCGTTGACGAAAGTGAGTAATCAACGATGGCATTGTCGTTGACGAAGGTATGGATGTGAGGGGGTCAGTTCCTCATTCGTTTATGCGGTGCTGACCCGGACGGGCCAGAGCCGGATGGGCGATTCGACGTAGTCCTACGAGTCGTCGTGGACCTAGCCACGTCGACAGCGACATCGTCACTCAGATAGTTGTCATCGTAGTGACGAGTCTCGACGTCAGCGTCGTTCATGGACGAATCCTCGTCTTGACGACGGTGCGAGTAATGGACATGGTGCGCGGGATGGCCACGTCCATGAGAAGAGGGAGCACGCCCTCGCACTGGTGGTGCGTGGGCGGATTCGTACACCGACGAGTGTGCATACGTCGGAGGGGGGTATTGCGGCGGAGGTGGGGCGTTTGAATACGCCACAGGGTGTGGGCTCGCGTACATCATAGGCGGGTTTGAGTACGACGTTGGGGGAGGGTTCGAGTACATAAGTGCTCGTTCCTGGCGTTGAATTTTACGACGCTCACGAGCGTTGTCAGTCATTGGTTTTATCCATCGACACGCGAGGATGTACATCCGTGCAATACGAGCCGGGGGGTACTGGTCGGGAAGTCTTTTCGCCTCCGTCTCAATGTCGTCGCACGACATACGCATTCATGAGGCGCGGTTGTTTGTAGCCACCCTGAGTCGGTACAGGTGTCGGCGTCCTCTTGCGAGGGCTTGCCCATCTTGAACGACCAGGCAAGATGGTACATTGTAGCATAGAACCTCACACCTTCTTCGGTGTGTATGTAGTTACGAACCAACTCGAACCACTTAGGTTCTTTGTCGCGGACGAGCGCAGCCGCATCTGGGAATTCGATTCTATCGACATGGTCGATGTCGTAGAAGCGGGTAGGAAGGGCCACCGATCGACAATATGTCGGTGGGGGTAGGGGTTCGCCATGCACTTCAGTGAGTTTGGCGTCGTAGTACTCGTAGTAATGATAGCCGGGTGGACAGTTTGCGACAAATTCTTCGAACGGGGCATCAGGGTCGACAACCCATTCGCCTTCCATCTCGTCATTGTCGGACGTGGGAGCCCATCTCTTGGAAGAGGTGGTTTTTTTCAACGGCGCAGACTTGGCCGACGCAGGATCCACCGGGCCAACCCCGGGGATAACGATGGTCTGGGGAACAGTGGGCCGTGACGACGAGGGAGCAGAAGATGTGATCAGGGCGGGTTTGGGAGATGCAGGGCGTCCCCTTGCCGTGCGCGCGACTCTAAAGACGTCCTCGTTGAGTTCGTCGTTGGCCTTTCGGAGGGATTCGACCCATCGATGAAGACGGTCATTTTCAGAATGCAGGTCGTCGGCCTCGTTCTGCAGCATCTCATACTTGTTCCTGAGCTCATCGAGCTCATCATTCCTACGTTCGTCTTCGAACGTAGTCTCTTTACGTTTCTCGAGTTTCTTCTCGATACGGGCCCACATGACTTCTGTAATCATTTCGAGTTGATCGAGCCCTGTCTGCGTGGAACGCGGCAGGTGGGGGTATTTCTCACTCGCGCTTACGCGAGTGGGCAGGACCAAATGGTCCTGTTTTGGGGTTAAAACGCCCGTGCTGGGCGCTTCAGGGGTGGCAGTCTGAGCGACTGTGGAGTTGTCATCCATCGACGACATGGCAGCATCCATGGTGGGACTTACAGGTGGGGAGTTTGGACTGGAGTCTATGAGGGCCTCCTTGATGGGGGAAAGGTTGAGGGAGGAATCAGCGAGGGGGGATTCAGTCGCGTTCATTTGAGCGATTTCAAATTTGATGGTAGGAAGCAGGATTTGATCCCGCTTTCGTCGCATTTATCCGATATTATTCGGATATTCCCGGACTTGCCAGTTTAGGCAACTCATGGCTTCAACGCCATAGTTGGCTGTGATAAGGCATTGATATCTGCTGGTATCGGACCGGTAGGCGACGTTCACGCCGTGGTCATGATGGTCTGCTGGATCTATTGTCTGGCGTCTGATCCTGTCGTTGACGGTTCAGTTCCTCGACGTTCTCTACCCCTTGTACTGTTAGGTAGTCATCCAACGCAATTAGATCATTTACGTTGGCCAAGGGTTCCCAAGTAAGGTCACCAAGTCCCCATCGGACACGGAACCATAAAGACTTATCGTCGTCCCATCGATGGTCGACAATTTCCTTAACCTGGTATTCCCGTTCTGGGTCGTCGCCAAAGTCGTAAAATACTTCTACGGCACACCCAGGGAACAGCACAGAATCATTCGGCTCATGAGGTGCGAGCCGTGAGACGTGGAACTTCGCAAAGATATTTCTTTGCATCAACACTGGGGGAAGCCTGAGGACGTAGTTGGATGAGTCCTCAAATACCTCCAGTATTTCGTAGGGGCCAATATAAGTTGGCAACAACTTATGCGCCCTCCCCTTGGGGAGGTTCAGATCTTTCGTTGAAAGATATGCGTAGTCCCCTTTCTTCAGTTTTGGGGAATCAGGGCGCCGATGTCGGTTCGCCTGGATAGCCTGTTCCACACGACTCTTGATAATAGCGTCGTGAGCGGCCTGGATGTTGTCCAGGGCCCGCTGTGCAAAGGATTTTACCCCCGGCAATTCGGATGACGGCAGGGACACAGTCATCTGTGGGAGGTATCCGTATACCAACTCAAACGGGGCGAATCCCGTTGATTTATTCGCACTTGAGTTCAATGCAAATTCTACCATGGGTATATGCACGGCCCAATCTCGCTGATCGGGTCGGACGAATGACTGAAGGATCTGGACCACCGTCTGGATCGCTCGTTCTGCTTGGCCATCCCCTTGAGGATGGAACGCGGTAGTTAACTTGAGTTTAACACCCATGAGTCGGTGTAACTCAGTCCAAAATTGAGACGTAAACTTCATGTCGCGGTCTGACACGATGGATGTTGGCATGCCGTGCAAGCGCACGACATGTTGCAGGAACAGATGCGCCAGCTCAATAGTCTTGACCTGGGTCGTCACAGGCACTAGGTGAACCTGGCACGTTAGTCGGCACAGAACTACCCAAAGGTAGTTATAACTCAGGCTCGTCGGGAATGGTCCGACGAAATCCATGGCGATTGACTCCCAAGGTTTCTCAGGGACCGGGAGCTGGTGAAGCAGTCCCGGATATCTGAGTTTGTTTTTCTTGGTCGTCTGGCACGTCCCGCAGGACGTGCAGAATTTCTCGATGTCTTTTGACATCGAAGACCACCAGTAGTGTTTGCGTATGTACTCGAGCGTCTTCTTGGCGCCGAGGTGACCAAGGATTCGGTGTGCGTGCTCGATCGCGATGCCCATTATCCTCTCCCCTTTATGAATAGATTCAGGGAGGACAAGTCGTGGCTCGCCTGAATCATTCAGACGGAAAATTAGGCCATCGACGATCAAGAACCTAGGGAAATCCCCAGGTTTTGCCAGGATCCCTCTCCAAGCATTGTGTTTGGAGTAGCCGTCTTTCACACTTGCAATGAAAGCTTTGTCCTCCACATGAGGACGTAGTTCTGCCAATGGCGGCAGTACATCTTCGAGGGAAAGCTCCCTCCTCCCTTGACGATTGTCAGGGGGATCGAGCACGGATGCCTCGAGATCTCATGGC